TCAGCACACCGCGTAGGGGCGGCGCCTGGTTGGTCCTGGGGCTGACCACGGATAGAAGTGGCTGCAATTCATCTGGGTCTGCCCCCTCGCTCTCTTCTGAGGAGGATCGGGGCTGTCCCTCTATTTCTTCGTATCCTTGGCTGTTGCTGAGGTCGTCACTGTCTTCTTGACCGGATTCTCCCACCAGAGAGAAACTGCTGTCACTGCCATCATCGTCGGTCTTGGTCGCATGTTCCACCTCCAAATCCCTTTTCAATTTCTTCAGGTTTTCTGTTGTGAACTCATTGCTCGCATCACCGAGGTGGCTGCAGCTCTCTGAAGAAGAAGAAGAAGAAGACTGACCCTCTTCGTCTTCCTCGTCTTCCTCGTCTTCTTCCTCTTCCTCGTCTTCTTCCTCTTCAGAGAGGCCGTTGGACAGATCTTCATCTTCGTATGAGTGTGCAGAACCCATGGCTGTAGTTTTCCTTGATGGTTGTCCTGCGCTTCTTGTCGTGTTTGGTACGGTAGGCATGAAATGCCTGAGGAAAGCGGAGAAACAACTACGGACACCGGTAAGAGACGGATTTTTTTATTGTTGGTTTAAGAGTCGGAAATGAGCACGGGGTCGTCCCAGCTTTCTCCATTGGTCTCGTTGAAACGCCTGGTCCAGGCCGCTGCATCCTTGCTCCATTTGGTCTCACGTATGTCATCGCCAAATGACGTGTCCACCACGCCGTCATCCAAGTCAAACGTGTACAAATGTCCATTGCACGCCGCGCTCTTCGTGACTAGGATAGGATAGCAATCTTGCAATACCAACGTGATCTGGAAATCCTGACGAGAGGCGTAGACCCTGGTGATCTGTTCAGTGTTTTGCAGCAGCCTCGCCACGCATAAGAGGTCTTCAAACTTTGTTGCAGGTTGATGGTATTGGTTCTTGATGAAAATCTTGCAATCTCCCGTTCTGAGTTGATTGTTGATGACATGATTGATGTCATGCGCTATGTCTACGGCCTTGGGGTTACACGCGGCAATGACTTGCCGTTCTTCTTCGGTGGGCCGAGCGTAAGTGGGCATGGCTCTCAACATCGACCAACCCGCCCAGCAGCGTACTGTCTTGACTTTGTAAGTTTTCGCAGTCGTTAGGGATTTTATTGATCAGCGCTTGATTCAACTCGCCTGTGAAACTGAGGTCATTGGCATCTACTCGCACTTCGATGCCTTCGTGATACTTTAACAGTAGGCTGAACCAGATGCCTGCTTTAGCGCCCGTGAATCTGTAGAGATGCTTGGTGAATCCCACCATCGTTGTTGTTGAGTGAGGTTTTTTTCGGGGGCTGTGGAGAGGCCTCTCAATGTGATCGTTTTATCAGGGGCGGGCATCGGATTGCGTATCGTCAGTCCGATCAGTCTGGTGATGCAATGCGGAATGATCAATGAAATTTCATTTTACACATCCCATAATAACCAGTTGGGGTTTACAATGCACACACACACACACACATACACGCACGATGAGCGCACACGCAGCACTTGCCCCGTTTTCCATTGTTCTCTCTCGCGAAGTGCATGAATTCGCTGCCGAATTACGTCTGGACATCTTGAGTTCGCTGGTGGCCAAAAACTGGGCCGTCAAGAGACCGAGCGTCGCCTGTTTCGTGAAATTCAAGACCACGAGCAAGCCATCGCAGCAACAGCCACGCTGGTCGAACTATCTCTTCTTGCACGGCAACGGGCTGGACCGCCGACAGCATGGGTTTGCGTCCGTGTTCAGACTGAGATCAACAATCACCACCACAAAGGAGATGACCGGAGGAGAGCTCGTCCACCGGAGCAGCAGGAGGTCCGCGAAGGGCAAAGCACGCACTGCCCAGGAACGCAGGACCAGCAATAACCCCAATGAACTTAAACGGCGAAGTACAATATCATCGTCATTGTCATCGTCATTGTCATCATCAACTGCAAGCACAAAGCCAACCCACAAGCAATGGGCCTGCACATTCACTAGTCCACACCCAAAGGAGCTCCCCATGCCCAACCCATTGTTTGATGAGATGACATTGGCCTAGCCAGAAAGCAACACACATTGTTTATGTAGTATTCCTCTCAGCAAACATAGGAGTCAGCCCATATTTGCTCTCCAGGATATCATTGAAGGCACTGGCAAGCTGATTGCACAATTCATTGCTGGGACTGACTTGATCTGCGTAGTCCAGGAAGAAGTCCCTCATGCCTCTGATGATTCTGTCCTTCCCCGCCTCAGCGTTGGGCGCGGCATACTTGGGCAAGAACTGCAGGATCATGGCGGTGGAAATGGCCAGGCCTTGGCTGTTCAAGATGAGCATGAAGCTGTCCACATTCACACGCCAACGAAAGGCCAGCGGCGATGAGCTGGAGTAGATCTTGGCGAGGAAATCATGAACCAGCTCGGCCAAGGTTACGGCGGACGTGCTGGACAGGTTGTCGCTCAGAAGCGAGCTGGTCGTGTCCTGCAATACCATGACACCATCCGCCTCAGGGCACCGGAGAAGCTGTCTGACGTGGGGCACCAGGCGGCAATCGACGGCCTTGTAGACGTTGGCGATGCTTCTTTCCATGCACTTCACCTGTGCGTCGTCAACGTGACCATAGATAACTGCTTTATAGTAGCGGTGGTTGTCGCCAACGCTGGACTTGGATACCGCATCCACAATGACTTGCGCATGACGGTCACCTGAGGGTGCCCTGGCCATGCTCTCGCGTATGACGGCATACCTGTTCCTTTTGAGACAACTTGATGTATTTCTCTGTTGGGATGGCGTCGGAGATAGCAAAGTGCTGGCCTTCAATCATCTTGTGCGTGTTGATGGCTTCCACGAACCCCAAGAACTGGGACGTGTAGTCCATCACCACCTGAATGAGGGGGTCCTCGGACATGAGCTTGGCTTCGATCGCCTCTGTGTTGGTGCTTCCCATGAGCAGCATCATGCAGCCGCTGATGAATTGATCCCACATCAGCTAGTGCACCCTCTCTTGGGTTTGTTCATGCGGCTGTTGGGGGCCGCAGCGCATGGTGATGTTATTGGAGCTGGCCAGCCACATGTCCAACTTGCTGTCTTCATTGTTTCAGGTGCAGATGAACTGGAGGGGTTGCGCGTCAATCAGGTCAAAGTTGTGGTGGGCGTGTTTCCCCACCGGTCGAGGGCCGTAGCTAATGATCCAGCTGATGATTCTGTAGACCAGTCTCACCATTTGCTTGACATCCTTCTCAGTCATGGAACCCAACTCCATGAGATCTTGAAGCGTGCCGTCCACCGGTGGCTCCACCACCATGCGGTAGTGCTGCCCACCCTCAGAGCACCAGAACTTGTCCTGTCGGGGACGCACGACATGCAGCACCTGCATGGCGTCGGTGATCGACCTGCTCGTCACATCCAGCGGCGAATTGTCGAACATGTAGAACGACGCCTGGCTGACACGTCCATCCGACTTTCTCCTGATGAGGAAGCGGGCAAGCACCACACTGGCTGACACAAGCAGAGGAAGGGGACGCTGGATAGCATAGCCGCAGGAGTCGGCACACCTGAACCAGAGGTTGTCCGACGATAACCCTAGGAGGGTTCATCGACAGGCTGCTGGGACACCAGAAGGAACAGGTACAGGCCACTGAACCTCACTGAAGTGTACTGATCGGCCGAATGTCTTTCTTCGAAGAGCAAGGCCGTCTTCCTGATCGCGGTAACTGCACCGTCCAACTTTGACGCGGCCTCTTGGAAATCGGAGAATTTTGACACGCACGAATTGATGAAGCTGTTGATGTGTTCAGCGATCCTCTGTTTCTTCCACGCGAGCGTGATCTCGTGCGGCAACTCGCTGGGTCGGTTGGCGTGGGTATCCAGACGCAGGTATCTGGCGGGCGCATTGCCCACCCTGGAGTAGAGAAGATCGCTGGGCAGAAGCAGATGATCGAGGTTGAGGCAGTTGTCCACAAGTACGCCCCACAGGAGCGAGTAGAGCTGTTTGGCGTAGTTGTCAAAGCGAGCCAATTCGCCCTGCGTTGGCGAGGAACCAGCGGCGGATAGCTCCTTGATGACCACCTCAGTGAAGTTGCCATCGAGTAGCCTCTGAATGATGAGATGGGCTCTTCCGCCATCGCAGGGGAATGCATTCTTGATGGGACTCACAATACCCTGGAGTGCAAGACGCGTCGTGATGGAGGCGTCATAGGCCGACGAATGGACCTTGATCGTGTCGTCGCTCCCGCCCACTCGCTCGACTTTGTATTTGCAATCCTGGTTGGTCCGCTGGCAGACTCGCCACAGTTCCTGGGCATCTCTCTCACTCTGTTGATCCAGAGGGGGACGCGCGTCATCCAACAGCGTGAAACCCTTTGCTTCGAGGCATGCCTTTGTCTCCAGCAGTTTCTGGATGAAGACGTCGGACTTGCTCGCGCGATGTGTCGCTTCCGATGATGGCTCTTGGTGCTTCTCATCAAGTTCGTCCATCTCTCCTCATAGCTTGCAATGAAAGCTTCCCCGAAGGGCTTCAGCCCCTGTGGCTGCTGGGAAGCATTGGCGTAGAAACTGTCCCACTCTCTCACGATGGCCAAGCATGAATGGTCATAGGCCGTGTCGGCATGGCCGTTGGCCAAGATGAGACTTCGGGGCTCCAGCAGGTATGCCTTCATGCCACCGCCCTGCTTCTCCTGACAAGCCCAACTTCTCGGATTGGCGCTCGTTATACAGTAGTTGGCGTGCGTCGCTGCCTCCCAGATCGCCTCCGATACCGCCTGTGTGCACTGGACCAGTCTCGCCTCGTCGGTGTGCATCAGCAGCTGCTTGAGAAGGAGACCGCCATTGGGCATGGGGAAGATAAAGGCGAAATTCTCTGAAGTGTAACTGTCCAGGACAGACCCGACCTTGGCCGTGCATGAGTAGGTGTTGTAGATTGGTGGCATGAGTTGCTTGCCTCTGAGCTCCTCTATCAGGGTCCTGACTCTGGTCGCATCGTTATGGCCAATGCCGTCGACGTCGTCATCAGGCAGATCGCAAACGATGCCGATGTGATCAGGCTGTTCAGTGGCAACATCATGACACAAATGGTATGAAGACACTCTACCGGGAATGCCCCTAACACGCTGCAGAGGCAACATCATCGTGGAGCGAAGCGTCCATGTATGGAGGTCTATCCCATCAATCACTCTGGACCGATGGCTGGTGTTGGTGGACCAAAGGGAGACCATGACTTGGGCAGTTGTGGCTGCGGCACCCTCGGCAGATGTGCGTTCCATGCCCAAGGTCCTCGCTGATGGTCTCATCAAGCTCGCCAACAAGAGCGACAAGCAACGTGCCAAGCTTGCCCTCCTGCCTGACTTTGGTGGCGAGAAGGCCGGAGCTCCCCAATGGCCGCATCTGCGACCTGATGAAGAACACCGGCAGACTCGCCGCCGTGTACGCCTTCACTCTCCTCAAGCACGCCCACAGGCAGGATCTCTTCAATGCCCCTGCCTACTGGGCGACTGCCATTGAGAAGGCCAAGAAGGCTGTCATTGAGTTCGAGAAGAAGGGTAGCAAGGACTTCAAGGATGCGCACAAGGAGGGTTTCATCTCTGGCCTGGTCTCCGCTGGTGCCCCCAAGGCCGGTGACCGTGAGCCCGTTGCTTCTTCCTCCTCCTCCTCCTCCTCCACTGGCAAGTGCAAGCGCGCCTCACCTCTGAAGGGCAAGCTGTCTGGGTACAAGCCTGTCGTGGCTGGTGTCAGTGCTCGTGCTCAGGCTGCTGGCTGGTATGACTGTGAATGCAAGCGTCTCAGACTTGCTGATGATGTTCCCTCCATTGATGTTGAGGTCATTGAGCAGCTTGGTGGTCACGACTGCATCAAGGCCATGAAGCCCACTGCCGCCCAGTACGGCTCCAACACCAAGACACTGTCCCTTGGTATTGCCTTCCCCGGTGGTGCCAAGGATGTCCTTGGTGGCATGGCTTTCTGTGTGATGAAGACCATCCGTGAGCAGTACACTGCCCCTCTCCACAAGAAGGGCCTCCCCACCAATGACAAGGTCACCAAGTCCAATGCTGTGTCCAAGCTTGAGCTGTGGATTGACGCCAACGGTTACACTGAGACGTGCAAGAAGCGCAGTGTGATGGCCTACAAGGCCCTCTGCTGCATCCATGATGGTCTCAAGCCCACCAGCGAGGCCAAGGACAACCCTGTGCAGGCCAAGGCCCTTGTGCACTGGGCTCCCAAGGTGATCAGGAAGCTTGAACGCCAGGTGCCCAAGAAGGTGCGTGTCAACGTGGGCAAGGGTGCGTTGGAGAAGCAGATCATGGACGCTCTTGAGGAACTGGGCATGGGCATCCCTGCTGGTCTGTGTGGCAAGAAGCTCATCACCAGGTTCAGGAATGACATGAGCCGTTACTTGGACAAGGTGCCCACCTGCGACGCCAAGGGTGAGTTCATGATGAATGAGGGAGACAAGTTCACCATCTACAAGGGCATCAAGAAGGCAGGCATGAATCACCGTGCTTACACATCAACAGGCCTGTCTGATACGCTGGCAAGGGCAAGAACAAGGACTGTGTGCTCTTCAAGAAGGCCAGTGAAATCTGAGTATGTGTCCAAAAGATAAACAAATAGATTTTATATATGTATATATAAAACAAAGCCACCTCACTCATGAAGTCCGCTATTGTCCCCAACCATGGCTTGAGATTGAGGAGTTTGTCCTCCTGTGCTCTGAGCAATGAGAGCTTGTGTGTCGCAGAGGGCTTGGCGTGAGGCAGTGGAGCTTCCACGGGGGCCATTCGCACTAGCTTCTTCTCTTGGGGTGTTACAATTATATGAGCGGTGGTAGTGATGATTGCATCTTCTTCTTCTTCTTCTTGTGCAGGTGTGGGCATCACCTGACGGAGCCTGAATTTGATGACGTGGGCACTTTGCCGCTGGAGCTGCAGAGTCTGAATTCAGCTGCTGACATGAAGTGGAGACCATGGCTGAAATGGTATGGGCGATGGTGGGGGCAGTGGTAGGATGAGCAAACAAAAAAAAGAGAGGCGTGGAGAGGCAGTGGGATGAAGAGTATGGTGGCTGCCTTTGGGGTAGTGCTGTGGTGCAATGTTATTGTTGCAGAGGGAGAGAGTAGTGGTAGTAGTAGTGGTAGTAGTAGTTTTTTTAGAACAAAGGACATGGTGATAATTTATGCTTTATTGTCATTGGTGGAAGTGACACATTGATGGTACAAAATATTTGCCAATGATCAAATTATAGGCCAAAGTTCAAGGTAATTCCCAAGTACACAGTGACCGCGCACAGAACTGAGCCACTTGGATGGAGGGTGTGAGGTATCACTCCTCTCTTGAGGTTGGAATACTGGATGGATGGATGGATGCCGCCAAGGCATCCACTTCTCTCTCTCTCTCTCTCCTTTCGTTTTGTTGTTTTGTCACTGCATTATAATTTGAAATACATTCACACATGCACCACATGTTGCACTCAACAACCAGGTCTGACACCTTCTTTTTCTTCGCCAACAACATGAAGCAAGAGCCTCCCGCCACCGAGGGCGAGGTGGAATGTCAGTTCTGTGGCTTTGAACATTCAGAAGCTCAACTGTGGTGTTGCTCATGCTGCAACTCTCATTTTTGCATCACATGCAGAGATGTGAAAACTACCAAGTGCATTGACTGCTCATTTGGCCTCTGCCAAGTGTGCAATTGCATGATATCTGAGGAAGATGATGGCCTCATCTGCAAGTCATGTGGAAGCATGAGCTGCACAGACAATGGCCAGGATTGGGGACGACATCCATCCATCTGTGATGATTGTCACCAAGAATTAAGAATGGACCCTCAAGGGAAATAAACACTAGTAGTTGTAGATCAGCCATAGTACATCATCAACCCCTGGATCTTCATCCACAGACACATGATGCACTTTGCACAGTACTCCTTACACCACAGTGGGTATGCGTGGAAAACATGTCCACTCTTGAGCATCTCTTCCCTTGGCTTGCAGTTGTTGCAAACATTGATGGTGTCCACATGCTTGTCATCAAACAATTGCAGCCACATTTCACCCTTGTTGATATGCTTGCCACACATGTCACAGTGCTGGCAGGTTCTGTCATCCTTGCCAGGTTGGGTGGCGTTGATGTAGTCTGTTGAGCATGCTAAAAAGGTGGAGAGATCAACACCAAGGTCAAAGTACCTCCTCAGTGGTGATTGTTGTGGTGCAAGACTCCAACATGGCCATACAATGGTGAATTGAGGCTGAGACACAGGAGTACAATCTTGTTTCCATTACTGTCTGGGTCTTCGTTGTGTCTGATGGGAATCCAATCCAGCAGCGACCTTGAAGTGTGTCATCCTGCTCACACTGATGTCTTGGAAGACCAAATTAGCCATGTTTTTGCTTGGCTGACACCTCCTACAGATGTCTGTGCTCCTTCCATTGGAGCCAATGTGTTGCCTCCACTCAGTATCCTCTATTGCCTCTTTGCAGACATTGCAACTATAGGTGCCAGTGCCCATGTTGGTCATGTGAACCAGCCTGTGCTTGTGGCAGTCCTTGAGGGCCTCCTTCCTTTGGTGCCAGTTTTGTGCACTGTTTCTGGTGGTGGTTGCTTCATCCACCTCCTCATAGCAGAGCTCACACATGTCAGTGTGACATCACAAGCACATCCAATAGGTATGTTTACCACATGCACCTTCTTCACATCCTGCCTTGCAATAGTTGCAATACACACAGCTCTTCCCATCATCATGAGCCACCACATTGTTCATGCAGCTGACGCACACATATCCATGAAGCAGGTCACTCCAATACTCATGTAACTGCTTCTCATTGAGAGGCTCAGATAACTTATAATAACTTATAATATTCAAACTTGGGCATGGGTCCATACTGAAATGGTTTTCTAAAATTGATCATTACATCTTCATACTTGCTGGCAAAGGGAGGCCTGGGATCAAAGAACATGATGATGTGTGTGTGTGTGTGTGTGTTGGCGAGATCAACGTTAAATAACAGGTGCATTTTATCTGTCAAGTGTTACTTTTGAAAATTACATTACCTGCATGCAGGTCTCCCTCCACATTTCACCAAGATCATTAAATTTATGGGGGTTATCAATGGCATTGTCGAGCCAGCCACTTGGCAGCTCTGCTTTGAGTTGCATACGACATCTGTAGCCACATGCACAAATTGGAACATGAGCTTCAACAGTTGTGTGGGAAGTGGGAATGACCATGAAGAGAGCATTGACCATGGCAGCAGGAAAGCCAACATCAACCAGGTAGCACTTCTTGTCTTTGAGAGGAGTGTTGATGCTTGGTTCAGTGACAAGTTTGTCTTCTGTAATGGCGCCAATGAAGAACATGGCAAGACAAAACATGAGTGTCAATTCATAGCCTCTTGTGTAACTCACGCTGCCATACTTGTTGGCATAGTGGTGGATCTCCTGCACATCCTCCTCAGTGCAGCACTGGCTGTTGATGAGGCTCTCCATGTGGCTGCCACAGAGTCCAATGGCCTCCATCAGCTCAAACATGATGGTCTCCTTGTTGGCAGGGGCCAGTGGCTGGCCTGGTATCCTCCAACACCAAACCACAAGACGCCAATGTTGTGCTGGTGGTGGCACTTGTGGATCTTCATCTGATGTTTTGAGTGACTTGCACTTGGGTGATGACTGCATTGTTGTTGTTGTTGTTGTTGTTGTTGTTGTTGTTGTTGTTGTTGTTGTTGTTGTTGTTGTTGTTGTTGTTGTTGTTGTTGTTGTTGTTGTTGTTGTTGTTGTTGTTGTTGTTGTTGTTGTTGTTCATGCTGCTGGGTCCAAATCTGTGTCCCTGCTAGCCTTCTTGCCATATCCCTGGACAGTAAACTCACACATTCTGCTCCTGTCAGCAGTGATGCCTTCAACCCTCATGTAACACAGGAAGTAGCACATGTCCACCCACTGCACAAAGGGTTTGATGATGCCAGTGAGCATTCCACTCTGCAGTTCAACAGGATTGAGCATGTCTACAGGGGTATAGTGTGTCCCAGTGACATTGTCCTCAACACACTTGTAAAAGTGGCTCTGGATGACCATGCACAGGGTGGTGCCCAGCCTCTGGTACTTGTGGAAGACCCTCATTGTGTTCCACCTCAGGCACATAAGGCAATAGCCTGGTATCACCAACAGCAGTGCACCTCCTCCAGTTATGAACTCCCTCTCCTGCTCAGGCCAGAGGAACTTGTGCCTGATGAACCTGTTGCTGGCCCCAGAATGTGAACCCCTGCTGCCACCACCTGTCTTCCTCTTACTGGCCTTCCTCTTGTTGACCTTGCCTCCTCCTCCTCCTCCAGTGGCGCCATCAACACTGGTGAGGGTGGAGAGAGCAAAGACATTGCTGTGTGTAAAAAGCATTTTCTTTTCCTGCACAATCCACTGGGGTTAATATCATAACAACCACGCTGAGTGAGGGGAAGGTAAAGGTGACATAAGTGAATTTCTTGGCAGAACCTCTCCTACCCCCCCCCTCTTCCCTTCATGTTCTGCAGTCAATCCCTTTCTCTCTTCTCTGCACTTCTCTTCTCCCCACTCTTTCATACACCCCATGGTGAATCAAAACCAGCTGGATGCGCCTGCTTGTGGTTGAGAAGGGAATGGTCATTGTCATGATGTGCATGCTCCCTCTGATGGAGACTGTCATGCCCATTGAGGAGCAGCAAAAATACCCCTTCACCATTATTACATTCACAGACAAAGAGTACAAAGAATGGATTTTGCATCTGCCTGAGGACATCATTCATGCCTATTGGGACCAGGACATGAATGCAATCCACTCCTACAAGGCCATAGCCAGGGGTTTCTTCAACCCTAAGCCAATCATTCATGTTGATGCAACTCCATCCAACACCATGGCCACAACATTGAAGAGGAAGTGGGATAGCAACAACAGCAACAACAATGGACATACCACCACCAACAGCAGCAGCAGCAGTGGCAGCAGCAGCAGCAGCAGCAGTGGTCAACCCACCAGCACCAAGACCCAGAAGAGAGCCAACATGCATTTGACCAATCACAAGAGGGAAGCAATCAAGTGGGACAAGCATGACATGCCTCCTGATTGGTCAGGTCACCCTCCACCAGTGAGCTGGACAGCCATCAGCAGCAAGGTGGTTGAGCACAAGTTCCAAGTTTGGGGCAACAAGCAGTGGGACTATCTCAACAGTGCTCTACCATTGGCAATCAAAGATCTGCCAGTGGCGCATCATGCCTCACTCACCAGTCACATCTGCATCTCCATCCCAACCTTAAGGCTGGTGCCCTACGTCTAACTCATACTCAGCTCAGTACAGCAACTTTGAGGTGTTTACAAAGAACCAGGAAAGTCAACCCTACTGGGCCCAACAACATGCAGTTCAAGGGAGCACTTCAGAATGGCCAACTGTGCAAACCTATGCTTCTGCACACACTCAACCCAAGGCAACCAGTACAGCAATTTCATAGACGCCACAGACAGACACCTGCTGAGGACCAAGATCAGAATGCCACACTCAGACGCAGACTGGATCATGTGCACATCATGCAGCAAGTCAAGCCACAGAATGTGCATCTTCCTCAACTACCAGTACAAGACCACAAGGGACCCTGTACAGCCTGACTGGATCTGCAACCACAGCTGCACAGCCAGCCTGACCAATCCAACCAAGATTCAAGGTGACACAACAAGCCTACAGTCAACATGGACACTGAGTGGAACTCTCCTGGGGATGGCAGCACAGACCGTGGGTCCACCCAAGGAGAGTAAGAAAGACAATCAGAGGCATGAGACCTGAACTGTCATCATTGTCCAACCCTTTGCTTTCACTCAGTGATCACAAGCTCAATGCAAGGATGACAAACTACACAAAGAGCAAACACAAACAAAACCACCACACACACAAACACCACCAATGGAAGAGGAACCCATGGAAGACATTACCCAGACCACCAAAAGATGACCACCACCCAAGCCCACCACACAATGGATGCTCAACTCAGTAGATCCCAAGGCAGTCATCAAAGAGCTCATGAAAAAACATTAACCCCCAGAGCCGCAACAGCCAACACTTCCACCACCTTCAAGTGGCACACAAAAAAGACAGTTCTCAGCCCCAACAGCCACAGAGGGAATGGTGGGAACAACATCACCGCAGCCACAGCAGCCACCACCCACGCCACCAAGGAAGAGGGCGCAAAGAGGAGGGAGAACAGCCATTGCCTGCATCATGCATCATTTCCTACATCATCACTGCCCACAGAACAAAGAATACAAGCACAAGATGTACATTCTGAAACAGCATGGAGTAAGTCTAGCAATGATAGTGGGAGCAACAGCCACAACAACAACAACAACACTGGGCTCACCCACCAGCAGCGAGTCAGAAGAGGACAAGGCAGCGGCGGCAGCAGCAATGATCAAAGAAGGCAAAGATAGCAGCCAGCAACAACATCAGCGCGGTCCCTCACTGACAGCAGACCCCCACCAATGACAACTGTGTGATCATTATTTTGTAGCCTGTGAAGCATCAATGGAATTGTAAATAAGACTGCAATGAACTGCACCCAACAAGACAGCAGTGCCATGTCAATCTATGTCAAGCAGAGACATTGCAGCAATCAGAACATTGATATCCATAACATCAGTATGGAATCTTCAGGGTCCTTCAATGTAAAATGTGCACAAAGCAACAGCTCCAAGAACGAAATCCAACAGCAAGTGACAAACCAGCTTGTTAATACCACAGCAGCCATCATTGGAAGTCTGGGCATTGGTGCCACAGGAGCTGCTGCCATCACCAACTCTGCAGTCAATGTTGTGATGAGCATCACCAACTCATACTCACTTGACTGCACCATGAAGGTCACCACCAGCAAGGGCATCTACACTGACCAGGACAGTGGTGACAAGTGTGATAGCCAAAACATCACCATCTCCTACATCAATTTCAGCGACCTCACTGAAGGCATTTCACAGTGCATTCAGAAAAATGAAAATGTGAACAATGCCAAGCAGGCGCTCATCAATACCATCCAGAATGAGGCCATGGCCAAGGTCAAAGGTGTGATGGGACTGATCCTCATGATCGTCCTCATCATTGTGATTGCCATCAGTGCTGGGACATACAGTGGTGAGAAGCTCTTGATGAGCCCAGTCTTCATGGGTTCTATCTTTGCTGTGGTGCTGATCTACAGCAGCATCACCTGGCTGAAGGAGTGGTTCCCATTCAACAAGAAGGATGACAACAAGTACAGGCCTCCCATGAACATTGTTCCCATCTACCCACCCAACAAGGTTGTGCCTGTGAAAAAGTGAAGTCTACATGTAAGTGGTATATTCATTCTCACTCTTCAATTAAATCCAATTCATGGAGAAGACTATGGGTGGCCTTGGCCTTGTCTTGGTTGGATGACCATGGATTTTTTTGTATAGGCGTGGGATCACACACAAATGGACAGGAAGTGCAAGTTTGGGGCTGGGGCATCCAAATTTGTGGTGAGAAGAGAGAGGCTCAAGTACAAGAAATCCAAATGCCCCTGACCAACACCAGTCCAGACAACAACAACAGCAGCAGCAGCACTTGAGACTGAAGGGCCAGTATCAGCAACAGCAGCATTGACAACAACAACAACAACAACATTGGCCATGCCATTGAAAGTGCCCAGCTTAACCACCTTGAGCATGTTCACCAGTACCCAGCTGGATGACCTCACTGATGCATGCAGGGGGACCATTGTCTTTGATGACACAAAAAACCAAGTCCTGGTATGGGACAGTGAAGCATGGAGCCCACTCTTCAACAAGGATGTCTCTGGAGATGCAAAGTTTGCCCTGCTGGATGACTCCAGCAATGTGCCCTTGTATGCATCAGGCAACATTGTCATGCCATCAAACAAAGGTGAGGTGCTGGTGGGAGATGGGTCTGGGCCTTAGGGTTAGGGTTTAGGGTTAGGGTTAGGGTTTAGGGTTTAGGGTTAGGGTTAGGGTTAGGGTTAGGGTTAGGGTTAGGGTTAGGGTTAGGGTTAGGGTTAGGGTTAGGGTTAGGGTTAGGGTTAGGGTTAGGGTTAGGGTTAGGGTTAGGGTTAGGGTTAGGGTTAGGGTTAGGGTTAGGGTTAGGGTTAGGGTTAGGGTTAGGGTTAGGTAGTTAGGGTTAGGGTTAGGGTTAGGGTTAGGGTTAGGGTTAGGGTTAGGGTTAGGGTTAGGGTTAG